GGGGGTGCAGGAAGAGGGGGCGGAGGAGGAGACAGAGGTGGGGTGAGCTCCTCCTGCTCGGCGCCGCGGGCCTGCAGCCTCCGCCCCCTGGTACTAAGGCGCCCTGCTGGCCGCGCTCGCTCACTGGCCCTGCGTCCCGGCTCGCTGAGCGTACGCCCGCGCCTCCCGCCAAGGTGAGTGCCGCCGGGCCCGGCTTGCCGCCGGCCCCGGCCCCCCAACTCCCTGCTGGAAGAGAAGTTCACGGGCAGAGCGTCGCACTTGGGGCGGAAGGAGGTCCGCAGTGAAGCCCGACAGCAGAGCCGGAGCTGGGAGGGTGTGGGGGGCGCGGGGGGCGACGGTGGCGAGAAACGGGCTGCAGGTAGCCCCCTGCCTCTGCTGCTCTGCCCCGCCGGACTTGGTTCGGGAGTCCCGGGCGTGGCTGGAGGATCCGCTGCTCCGCGTCCTGAGCCGCACCCAGGCCTGGCCGCCACAGCCCCTCCCTGGCCACCCGCCCCCAGACTCTGGCTGGCGGCCGTGTGGGAGTCGGGTGGGCGTGCTCTGCCCCTAACTGCGAGGAGTTGGCTGTTGAAGCTCCTGGCTGCTCTCACCTCTCCTCTTTCTTCCTTTCTTTGTCTTTTCTCTAAAGTGGTTAAGCCAACCCCTGCTTCTGCCCACCCCCCACCCCCAGGCGGGGCGGCATGCGTGGCTTCGCCTCCCTCCCCAGCCCGCTCTGGCTGAAGGGCCTGCTCCGGGACGGGTGGGGTGGATTGGTAGCTGATGGGGGCTCTTCCCAAACGGTCCCCCCCCACCCCCGTCCCTCATCCAAACAGATGCTTCAGGTTGGACTTCCTGTCTCTGTACCGTCGCTGCAAAAGGGAGGCCTGTGGGTATTTTTCATAAAGCAGGGGTGGGAGAGATGATGAAGCGATTCTCTACTGAAGAAAGTTTTCCCTTCTTGTCATCGCACATTAACTGAGCGACACTGGAAAGAGGTGAAGGGTCTGGTAGGCCATTGGTACCTTCTTCACAACTTGGCCAGAGGATTGACCCCTCTTTGGCCCTGGACCCCACATCGTCCAGCCTCGAGTCCTCCTAAGTCAATAAGCAGATTTACTGCCCTGTTAGGGCTGGGTGGAGGAGAAAGAGCCTGAGTGCTAGCCAACTCTGGAATCTATTAAACCCACCCTCCCTTCCCTCCCGCTGGTGGGGTGGGGGGGGCGGGGGTTGGAAGCATTCTGCAGGGCGCGGTTCACACCAAGGTTTCCAGGGTTCTCCTAGTTGTCCAGGGCCTGTGACTCAGCTGGGAGACCATGTGGGTGTGGCCCTGCTGGGTTCAGATACTCTGTGGATAGTTAGGACAGAACCGAACACTCCCCAAAGGAAAGGAGAATCATTCCATCTTTGAGGGCACTTCCAAGAGGAAATGAGTCACACCAGTGCGCTGCAGGACAGGTCTCTTGACTGCAGTGTACATAACAGGCATTAGATTGGCTGGCAGGGCTTTGGCCCCCTGCAGTCCACTTAGCTTGGCTTGGGAGGGAGCTCTGTTGGCGGCTGAGAAGAGGTCTCCTGGATTTTGTTCTGTGCCCTGCAGCTTGAGTTTCAACCTTTAGGAGTGGATGTGTGTATCCTGTGCTTGGATGTGAGGCCATGTCATGGAAACACCCTGTCGGTGATCTTTGCCTCCAAAGTGTCTCAGCAAATTGCAAAAGAGGATTCGAGGTGGAGGAGGGAGGGGAGGAAATAATGCCGAGGCTGGGGCAGGAGTGAGTTCATAGAGCACATTAAAGACTTCTTCATCGGCCCTTTCCCCCACGGAGTGGATCTAGCTTCTGCTTCATCTTCCGCTTGTAGATGGTGGGCTACTCTCCTTTGGCAGCAAGAGGCGGCTGCTTTGTTGCGGCCCTTGCTCTGCCTTGTGGAGGGAGGTCTTAGGGCATGGCTTAGCAGTGTCTTGAGGGTCTAATGGGTATCAAAAGCACTTGCATGGGCTCCCCCCAGAGGGGTGGGTGATGCTCACCCTGGCTTTTCCTGGACACAACATCCAGAGAGCCCTTTCCTCCCATGGCTGGCCTCTGTAAGCAGCCACTCCAGTGAAGGCAGGCGCTGGGCTGGGTGGGGCTGAGGCTGGGTGCCTCCCTGCTTTCCACTTTCCACTGTGGCTTTTTTAGAGCACCACCCACTCGGTATGCCCTTGGACAGTGCCCAGTCTTTTCAGATGTCACGGTGAGGGAAACAATGGGATCCTTTCAGTGTTATGTCTAAATTAGCATTCCGAATGCTGGGACCTGCTGGCCTGAGATTGATTAAAGGACCTACTAGCTTCTTATCGATCCAGCGCACACGTTAGGAGTCTCACCTCCAAAGCCCAGAACAATGGATTTATTTATTTTTAGCCAGGTCCAGGCTTCCTGCCGGCTTCACTAAATAACTGCCATGCACACACCCCCCCCAAAGGATTTAGTAGAAGTTGTCACAATGGCTATTGTTAGCTCACTCAGGCAGATGGGTGCCTGATAACTCTTCAAGGGACAATGGATGTGCCTGGCTCAGGGCAGAGACTGCTGGAGTTCTATCTTCCTGTGGGGTCTCATATGGAAGATAACCTTGGCTTCCCATTGCATCAGCAGACAAGTGTAATTTGGTGAGGGAGGCTGCCCAGAGCCACACCCACGGCCTCGGGCCCATTATTTCCCTGAACCCCCTTTTCAGAATCCAATTCTAGGAATGTTTTCTGGCTCCATTAAACAAAATTTTCTGTTTGTTTCATTTCCCAAATGCTTGAAGCACAAAGACAGAAGCCTCAGATATATTTTTAAACGGCAGGGTTTTGCAATCCCTGGCCCTGCCAATTTTTTCCCCTGGGTGGCCGGTAAGAAAACTCGAGCGAGCATGGAGTAGACACAGAAGAGCAACCCCCAGCAGGCCTCCTGCTCTTGGGAAGTGTCCTTTTTGAATCATGACTGCATTTAGGCAGAGGTCCAGAACAAGCATCTGGGATTGCTCCTCTGGGGCAGATGATTTTCCCAGGAGGCCCCTTGCTCCCCTCTTACTTCCAGGGTGGTCACACTTGACATTGTCAATTTCATGCTTCCCAATTTACGAAGGAGGCAATAAGACAGCAGGACGCTGGCTGCTGGGACCTTGCTCAAGTAGCCCGCAGTCTGATGAGGACACAGGAATACAAATAAGTGGCATTTTAAAGAGCATGGTTTTAGCTAGTGAAGGAACCCTGGTGGCAAAATGCTTATGCATCAGGCTGCTAATCATAAGGTCAGCAGTTCGAAACCACCAGCCACTCCTAGAGAAAGACAAAGCTTTCAACTCCTGTATAGAGTTACAGTCTGGGAACCCCATAGGGGTGGTACTACCCTGTGCTATAGAGTGGCTATAAGTCAGCATCGACTGGCTGGCAGTGAGTTTGAGAGTCTGGCTAGTGAACTCCTCAGAGGCATGTGTGTGTGTGTGTGTGTGTGTGTGTGTGTGTGTGTTTTCCTCTTGGTGACTAACACCATACCAAGGTGTGCAAAGTAGATGCTCCATGAGCCAGGATAGAGAACCGAATGCCCACTACAACGATTGGATTTATGGAGTCTAGAATTCTCTTATAGAGGACATTACATAGAGAAGGACTCCAGCCCTTTCCAAGCCTCCAGTGTTAGGACTCTTGCCGTCAGTTGCCCAGGCAAACATACAGAAGTCATGTGCAAACACAACGAACGGTTCACTGGAAGGTGAGTGAGCAGAGATCCTGGAAGCCGCTGGGCTCACAGGGAGGTGGCAGAGCTGGAGAAGCAGGAAGCGGGCGGTGGGGATGAGTGAGGCTGGAGAACACAGGGCTTGTGTGAGAGCCGAGAAGTCTGTCAGCGTCTGACCAGACCTGTTTGGCAGCACACAAAGTGTTTCCTTGCCAGACGGAATGTGCTGCCCTCTGTGGTCTCCTGTGCCCTCCATAGGGGAGCCCTTTCTGTGGGGCCCTCTCCTGCCTTTCCCAGCTCCCATAAGGCTTTGCTGAGCCCAGACCTGGGTCATCAAACCTGGGTTCAGCGCCTGCCAAGGGGTCATTTGACTCACTCATTCATTCACTCATGTAGCAAACTGTTCTTTAAAAGAGTAAAAGCAGAGTAATTCTGAGTTCTTGGCCATGCGGGACTTAAGTCTACGACAGAGGCAGACGGTAGACAATTGAACGTGATTAAGTATTTCAGGGTGGAAGTGCAGTGTAGGAGTGGGGCGGGGG